GCAGAAGCCCGGGACGATTAAGGAGATAGCCGTTGCCTGGTCCGAAATTCCGGACATTGCGGAACACGACAGCATAGGAGCCGGACGTGCTCCGCGCAGGCTTCGATTCAACGACAAAGTGGGTGCGCAACGGCGACTGCGTTGCATCACCGAGCAGGATCCGACGACTCTGCGGGTCAGGGTCCGGAGACTTGAACCGACGAGCTGGGGAGATCCCTGGCCTAATGGTTCCCAGAGACAAGATGCTCTCTGTCTCCGCGGGCACCAGCGTGCGGCGAGCACTGGAGTTTGTCCGGAACATCAGAGGTATGGCAGTGACGGCGGACGAAGAGAACGACACGACGTGTGATGCAGACTCGGTGCTGGCAGTACTGGAGATGGGGGAGATTGTCGGTGTTGTTGAGGTGGGAGATCTGCTGGGGAAAAGTGACGTGTGGTGATGAAAGAATTTGATGCTGTGGCATCAACAGACATGTTGTGCGTGATATCCATGAGCGGGATTTTAGTTTCGGGCAAGGTCTTCACTAGAGTTTTCGATGGTCAGGACGACTAGATGGGATAATATGACTGCCCAGTGTGTAGAGCTCGAAGAGCTCTGGGCTGATTTGTGTCATCACGACTTCGTGCTCGTGAGGAAGACATGTGATGTAAGGTTTACGCGATCGACAATTGGGTTTAGCTGCAATCTGCTTGGTATTTGATGCAGATCTTCGGCCCCATCGCTGACAAGATGTCAACTGGGTACGACAACATCGACTCAAACACGGGTGACGTTGAACAGCATGGGGAGTGTATCCATGCGACGAGAGTGCCCATTGTTTCCCGCCGGTTTCGCCTCTGGCAATCAGCGACACGAGCTTATATTGAGTAAGACGAATGCGAGTCGAAGCCATCCGAGGAGCCTCAAAGGCCGCGCGGTTCGGAGGGTCTGGGGGGGGGGGGCGCGAACAGGAAGAAGCGTGCCTTGCTCTAGCGTCAGTCCAAACAGTGTCTTTGTACGCGAATCGGATCTTTGTTCCTGACAGCGGGCAGACCAGAAGACGAAATAGTGGAGTATATGCTGTGAATTGCTATTTTGGTGACGGGTTTATCGCTTCGCCCTGCTTGGCCCTTGCCTGTCTTGCAGCTGCTCTCACGGGAGTGCTAAGACCCGAGGGGCAATGATCGAACAGGCCCGTCACCATGCGCCACAAACATTGTGGCCAAGGGAGCCTTAGACCAAAACCCAGCCCGCTAGAGACCTACATGAGTAGGTACCAAGGTGACAGAGATCTCGTGGCTTGGGTTGGCGACCAGCGTCATTGTCGGGGCTGTGGTAGCACCCTTGCGCCAATCGGCGGGGTCGCTGGGGAGGGGGGGGGGAGCATCGGGCAGTGGACGCGTAACTTGGGAGGGGGGTGGTAATCCTCTGAAGAAAGATGCGACGAGAGCGGGGAGGACAAGACGAAGACGCGTTTCGCAGGCATGGCTAGGTACTGTAAGATGGATGAGGAGAAGGTGAAGGAGAGCATCAGAGCTGATTGTAGACGCAGGGATCTGGCCAACCGCCTAGCTATCCAAGATGAGAAGCGCAGGGCAGGGAGAGGTCTCAGGCGTTGCATCAAGGCAACGGTGAGATGCCTTCCCAGGTGGTTTCCCGACGTCTGGGCAGGCGCTTCAGCTACCTGGGTACCTACCTTACTTTACTATATGTAACAGTACTTGCTTGGGCCAGTGACCCGGCCTTGTCAGACCCCTGCGCCTGCCCTGCCTGCACTGAGATGGTAGCGACGCATAGGTGCTCAGTACAGGCCCCCTTCCCCCACCAGCCTCCCCGCTTTTGCGCGCAGGCAACCAGTACCAGGCAGCA